TGGTAACTGGGGAAGAACCAATTATAATCAGAGAACTTAAGAACCTTCTAGAACACGGGCAAGTACAAAGGGGTGATTGGCATAACCAAAAGGTGGGAATAACTGATAATTGCATAACTCGGGGGGAGTGGTAGGTTTTGATGGACATCCTGGGAGGCGGGCATCTGCACTACAGCCTCCTCCCATGGCATATCCGCGGGAACTTCTCTTAAGTCCCCTACCACAATAGAGGCACTTTTCACTGTCAAATCAACTCCACAGAGGTATATCTGAAATTGCTTTACTTGTTCTCAAATCATATTGTTGCTGTCAACACTATATCTGTTCTTAGTCCTACATAAGGTTTTTGTATTAGATATTATATAACCATTGCTGCTTTGCCACTTTTTCTTATGTCTTAAAATCCACAGCCAATATCTAATATTTTAGAATATTAGGCTTCATGGAATTCACATGTGAATTCCTTTGAGGGAAGAAAAAAACCTTAGCAAGTAGACTAAAAACCTATAACCTAGAGAAAGTAAGGTCTTGTAGTTTTTTGAATATGTACTAGTACACTGCTTTCTGTAAAAATGTATTTTTAGAAACTTTTTTTCCCTCTAATAACAAGGTTTTTGGATTAAAAATTATTTTTTGCTTTCTATGTTTTTATGATGATGTAATTGTTTTTTCTCATTTTCTTTGTGTCATATAATAAACTATCAGGATAATTTCTATGTGTTCTTTTCATTTATGTAGAGATAACTGGGCAAGATTAAGGAATGTAAAACATAGCATTGTTGTGTTTCTATGCCATTTCATTATTAATCCCATTATTCAAAAGACAAATCACTTCAGGCTGGATGTTGGTATAGATATATTTTGATTCTAAGCACATTATATAAAACTTTTCATTTTTCTTCCACCAGACTATCTTTAGGCTTGCTATATCAGCATCAATATCACATAAGGCTGCCCCAAATATTTCCTTATATAAAGATTGCCGGAAGTAAAAATTTTACCTCTGTAGTGCATCAAATCAATTGCTTACAATAAATCAATGGACAAATTGGTACACTTACAAGAAAAAAATCTATTGCAATTACTCTGAACTGAAAATAAGCCTGTTGCCACCTTTCTCTTTCTTCTTTCTTCTCTTTCTTCTCTTTCTTCTTTCTTCTCTTTCTTCTCTTTCTTCTCTTTCTTTCTTTTCTCTTTCTTCTCTTTCTTCTCTTTCTTCTAGGGCTGAGTTGTCTTAAAGCCTGTATTACCAAACCCAGTTTCTTTGGCATGCCACATTAGCATACAGCTACTTTCATGTTGTGAAACTTTTTTCTCAGGCCATGCAGGAAACATAGAACAGGTTTTGGATAGCACTGGTCTAGAGTCAAACCAAAAGATCACATTGATATTCACATCAAGATTCAGAATTGGTCACCATTCAGGAATTGTAAAAAATCAGTGGCAATATCTGAGAATGGGTAGAAGGCTGATAAAGGCTGAGGGATGGATCTAGGAGCTGGTTTTGGTTACCTTAAGACCTCAGAGGTGCACAGTGAGAATAAGAGGCTGACATAGATTGCAGCAGGAGAGGCTCCCTGTCAAGAGGAGCTGCTGAGTGTCCATTCCTGGATGTGCTTGAAGCAATGAGTAACCAAATGCAACCTCACAGCTGGTCTCACTGGGGAGGCTGGGCTGGCCAATTTTTTTCTGTTTCCTTCCAGAATAAATATCTCACAATTCTGTTCCACAACACTGATGTTCATCACATTAAAAAAAGTTTATATTTCCTTTTCAAAAAAATACTTGAATACTAAAGCAATTTTTTCTATGTTTCCCCAAGAAACTTTCCAATACAAGACCTTGTAGTCTTTTGTAAAAAAAAATTATAGCTCCAGTATACTAGCTAATATTAGGTTTCTCTTAATTCTCATTTTAACACAGTCATCTCAATTGAGTACAAGAAACTGTTTCTGTTTTAAAAAAAGATTCATGTTTTCACCAAAAAATTCCTATAAACTATAAAAAGTGTAAACCATATTACATTATAATTAAAATATAAGCTTTATTATAAATCATATATCCTGAAATAATTTCTGACCAATCACAATCAATACTTTTTTTTTTTTTTTTTGCTATCTCACTTTTTCAATATTTTGGTTCTGTAGCAGAAATATCTATAATCCAATTATGTAAAAAGCTTCATTTTAGACTTTAATTTCATTTTCAAGAAGGCTGCTAGAACATTCTGAACTTTCAAAACATTTAAGAATGCACAAAAAGGCTAATGAGAAACTTATCAGAACTGGTGACTTTCTACAAAATATTTTTGTTTTGATTAGTCTTTTTCTGATGAAAATTACTTCTAAGATTTTAAATATTGCTTACCACTTACACTTTGAACTCTATGAAAATCAAGCTGCTGCTGCCACTTAGATAATAAAGGCAGGCTGATAAAAGCTTGCTGCAACAGAAATTCCAGTTCAGCCTTTTATAGGTATCTAGACTACATGAAAGTCACCTCTCTCTTCTCCATTTTCCCTCTCCTTCTTTGCCCTTCAATGTGCAGTCACTCAGAGCCTACAAGAGTGAAACAATATTAAAGTAAACTCAATATGAAAGTAAGATCCAATTTCTGCAGGCTTTTTAATTCTATCTCTGCTGATGGTCTTTAAGACCTAAGGACAACATGAAATGAGATCCTAAGGACAATACTACTGTTGTTTACTTCTAATGGAATTAATTTTGCATATTTTTTCTTATAGTTACAGGCATAGAAATGTCATTTCCAATTATTCTTTGTGAGGAGATGAAATAGAATAGATAAAGACATAAAAATACAATAAAGAAAAGTAGATAAGAGTGAATAATTCACATTTCACCAATGTCCCTCTTTATGATGGATAGCCTCCTTATCAGGTCTATATTTGCTTCTAAGTCTGGCACTATCTGACTTCTATTACTGCAAATTATTGTTGGCAATATTGAATTGTGGTACTAAAATGCTAGACAAATGACTTAAACTTAAGAGTATTGCTTTCACCCCAGTTAAAGCTGCTTGCACAATCGTTTTATCCTCATTTTGCCTCAGTATTCTGTTTGTCATGCTAATGAATGTTTGCAGAGCCATAATTGCCAGCAGCCCTAGGCAGGATCAGCTCTGCCTTGTGCCATAAAGGCAGCAAGGAAAGTATATCTGCTCATGGAAATTTTCTCAAAAATAGCTCATGGAGTCAACGGCTGAGTCTTAGACCCAGATTTTTTTTCTCTATGACAGTTATTTGCAGACATAAATGCTTGCAGATACCAAAGCAGCAAAAAAGGGAGTATCAAGACTGAGCAATATATAGAAGGAAAGATACATCAAAAATACTAACAGAATGTTTTTGTTGAACACCTTGCAGCTATGGATTTGAATTCAAATCAGGGACTCTGACTTGCAAAAAAAAACCAGAATCTCTCCTAAGATGGGATCCATTTACTTTTATACATCCAAAACAGGTGAGGAGCCCCTGTAATTTTGCATGTGATTTATAGTCCTGGCCAGATCAAGGAAAACATGGCAAGAGAGAGAGAAGATTTCCAAATGCTTGTGTACAGCTGCAGTGGTGACTTGATATTAGTCCTGTCTTACTCTCTGGTGTCAGGTTATTGGAATGTTTCAGAAGGTGGGAGAAGTTGAAAGTACAGGCTATTTAAATGCACTGCAGTTTTCTTTCTCTCCTGTTAAATTGTGAAGATAAATTTATCATGCAGCTACAAAACTTGAAGTTTTATCCGAGCTTCTGCTATCCTGAGTCAGAGAAACTTAAAAGGACCTGTCAGTGGCACCAATGGAAAAAATACTTGGCAGAATAGACTCCAGTCAGAAAAAATTAAGAAGTAATAAAATTACCTTAGTGAACGTCATATTATATAGTAGAAATATCATCACCCATGCATGGAAATAACCATCTCTATACAAGTATTGAGATACTTTGGATTTCATGTGTCTGGTGAACAAAAAAATGGGTAACATATGGTTTTGATTATGGCTTTGGTTATAAATTAATGTCTATTTTTATGCCCATATGCATGTTTGGGAGGCTGAAAAAAAAAAAGCATAAAGCAGAAACCAGCATGCATCTATTAATGTCCTTGGAACATGATCCTAAGAAAACCAAGGAAAGCAAGAAAAATTTAACTTACTTGACATATTTTAAGGATGAGTTGGTATTTTGAGAGAGATCCTGTACAATGCTCAAACATCTGCCTTCTGCTGAGTCAGGTTTACTGTGCTTGAAAAATCCAAAATATATGTCTTTACATTTAATTCTTAAATCTCTTCCTAAAGAGGTATTCCTTGGGGTGGAAAAAAACACTGGGAACAAAGCTGCACAAGAGAGAAGCTTTGTGTCAGGATTGCACAATTCAAAATCTAAATCTCAGTGTATATTCTTACTTACAGCCATGTTAGTTTGTGGGAAAACAGCTATGTGTCCTTTTTTGAGACACAGAATTCAGTGTCAGATATTTTTAAAAGCAGAAATGTAGACCTAAGCTATCACCCAGGAATTAGCTTGAAAATAATTTCCTGTCATGGTTTTTACACAACTCGTGTAAATTTGCACATCATTAGGTACCATCACTGATCCTTCCACTACCCAGTATCCCAAGATGGGGGAACATTAATAGGCTAAGTACAACATTCAACTCAAATATGCCTCTTGAATTTCCCAGAGTATGTTTCAAAAGTAGGGAGGGATCTAAGTACATCAACTTACTAATTGCAATAAAAACCTTTCCAGAATATGATCTTTTTGTGCTACATCTATCACTACCTCAGCACGTAATTCCTGAATAGTTAAATATTTTTTTCAGAAAATCAATTCTAGAAATATTCACTGCCTCTGTGTCTATCTTTTTATTTTTGGGAGAGATGAGGTGCTACAGATAAGATATTTTAAAGATATTTCAGTTGCTAGTTCTCGCCATCAATGGGCACAGAAGACCTAAATACCTTTTTAAGATCGGCCACTGGATTGATATTCCTGGCAAATCCTCTCTGAGCTCTCTGATGAAGTAAAAAAAAAAAACAAAAACTAAAGAAAGTGGAGACATTGAAATTTTATCTTTAGCTAATAATTTATCTTAAAAATGCATTTTAGTTGCAAACCAGTTTGAAATTATCTTTTGTTTGCTCCTCTACACCATATTTTTTCTTAGAAGCCATATTAGATGGGCAGCAGAAAAATGATACATTTACTTTCAGGAAAATTAAGCCTGAAAAATTAAGAACTGCAGTCTCCTTTGACAGGTTACCCACAAATCAGACCAAAAGGTCTTTCCAATCTTTCTGTTTTCTCATAGAGTTTGGAGCACAATGACAACATCTTTCCTATTATGACAGTCGTCATTTTTATTTAGCCGTCAACAGGTTTCTGTGTCAACTGAGAAAATTTTGCTAAACTTCAGAATGACTGCAGCAAAAGTTCCTGTTTTTTGCTATCCCCTAATAAACGTAAGTCTCAATTTTATTGATTAAGTAATATTCTTTGTTTCTTTCTGCTGGTAAGATGACAGCAACCTTTGCTTGATAGTACTGCCCTGGAACATATTTTACTTCCTGAAAGTGGTAAGAGGCATAACAAAATTATTTTGTTGACGGAAGGAAAACAGACCTTTGAGGAAATTAATTTTGTCATTGGAAAAAAGGTATGTTTTCCAAAAATTCCTTGACTTTACCACAAAACAACTTCTCTGCAAAAATGTGTTTCTTACTCAGAATTCATATCTCCAACTTCCTTACCCCTTGCATTTCTTCTCTGATTGTTTAAGTTTCAACCCTTATACCCATTTATGTCACTAAAAGGATATACTTAGACTGTTATATACGTCTTCTCCCATTGTTTTAATTCTCCATAAATTGCTTTTTTTTTGGAAATGGCAAGCCAAAGAAATTTTTTTCAAGCTATCATCTGTATTATTAATTTCTTACTATTCATTCTTAAATTAGAGTCTTCATTGTGAAACTTACTTCCAGAAAATCAAAAATCTCTCTGTCTCCAATATGAGCCACCTCAAAAGCTAAGAGAAATTTAGGAGGTTTGAATTTTCATATATTTTAAACTTTCACATTAATTTTTATGTACCAAAAATAATTGCTTGGTTTTAATTTTTTCATTTATACTGTGTCATATTTCAGATTCCACTGGCATGTAATTACTTAAAAGTAATGTAGAACTGATAAAAGAATGAAAGGAAGCAACTATGAAAATTCTGGAGATCTGACAGCTTGACCAGATAGTCTGCAGGACAGAAATGTTTCTGAGTCTGACACTCTCTGCAAGCATGCCCCAAGAGCTTTCATTTGTATTAGAGTATTATCTACATAATGCGGCCACTTCTTTCACCTACAAAATAGGGAAGAATCAAATATTCCTTTACCTGATGTCAGGGTTTTGTCTGAATTCCCCTCATACTATACAGCTCACTGAATCATGATGGATCCAGCTAGGCTTTCTTCTTTTTCATGTTTCTTTTCACCAAGGTTTGTCTTTGAGATTTAATGGTTCCATGAGTTTCCTGCCTGGCCAATCACCTAAAAAATTGCTGTGAAGACAATTAATTCAAATAGCGCTTCCATTGCGATGCCATCAAAATTTAAAAAAAAAAAAAAAATCACTGGGTACACTATAATTTCTGCCAAAAAATATAAAATTTCTATTAGTTTATTTAGACCTCCCAGCTCTACATTGCATATATGACAGCTAGTAAGAAAAATGCATTATGATCTTTATTACATATGTAGTATGAAATTTCCCGGAATATATAGTCAGAAAAATTTTGGAGAAAAATCTAGGCATATTATAGTGTTTCTGTACATGGAGTACATGCAATCCTAGCCAATTTCCTGTTAGATTATCTTTCAATCTGCTAAGGTTATTTAAGAGCAAGTGCCAAAAATCTGATATGGTAGTGTAGGTCAGGTATACACTTCACAGGATCACTAAAAAGAAGGCACTACAATCAGAATAACACCCACTGAATGTTTACAGTCCAATAAAAATATAATTTAATAAACTATATAAATTTTTAAAATCAAAATAATACTGATGATAACGATGTTAATGATAATGATAATAATAGTAATATTATTAACAATAACAAAAATAAAAGTATAACCCTACAACTCTCCAGTGTAACATAAATACACTCTAAACTTGACCTCTAAAAGAACAAGTTATTGCATCAAGAGTATCTGAGGCAGGGGACCTCCATTTCTGAATGTCCATTACAAAGTATCAGGTAAGAAGTTCAGTACACACAGAGACATTTTCAGGATCAGAGAGGAATTAATTTGTTGCTGAAATCCCATCTATAGCAGTAAAATGTTTGTATTGCCATTAAATCTGCAACAAAAAGTGGAGTTGAGATATGTGTTTCATAGAGATAATTTTTTTGTGAGTTCTATCTCTGGAAGTCTGACACATCTTACCAGGTGTAGAGACATCTCAGGCATGTCTAAAGATGAAAGATTTGAAAACTTGAACAGGTATTCCCTGCTGCTGAATTCAACAGAATAGTCTTAATTTTATTTTAACAATAGTATTTAGATTATTCAATGCAACAGAGAAGGGATAGCAAAGATGTGAAAACACAAAATGAAGTTGTTCATAAATATACAACTCGTACAATATAAAAAAGAGCAAAAACAGTGGGATTAATCTCACTTGACTCCTATCACCCGAAATCCATATTGGGGGTTAATTCCTGCAGTTTTGCATACCTATTTAACAAGTCAAGTGTGTGCTACAGAAAATGCTGCTATCCACTGACGACAAGAACTTTAATGCTGTGAATTTAGATCTGACGCCTGACTTTTAGACAGCTACAGTCAGGTGAGATGAACTTCATCATAAGTCTCTAGAGAAAATTCTAGAATGGGTCTCCTGAATTAAACTAAAATGCATCCAAAACATGGAGTTTACATAGAGGGTATTTTCATATGTGTTTGATATAACCTGTTGTTTCTCCCTTGCACTGCATATAGAATGTCTAAGAAACCCTTAAGTACATAAAGATTCTCTGCAGAATAGACCACATATTTTGCAGTTGAACTTGAATTTCTCTTATAAATCACAAATCTCTTACAAATCACTTGTAAGTTATATAACACTACAGTGAAAATTCCAGCTCTTTTCTTTTCAGAGACAGGACTCAAAAACTGATATGAAGTCTCGTCAAAAGAAGAAAGATTTTTATTTTCACTGTCACCACCAAAAAAGCTGCAAAAGAAAAACTTGCTCAGGATTGCTGTACTTAAGGGATTTGTCTTTCATTTTTCTGAAGTTTGAAAGTCACCAAGAATGACAGGACTGAGTTCAGCATGCCCCATTCCTAATGGACCATCCACGCCTTGTGCCTCTGCCCTGGGAATATTTGCCAGAGCTGTACACTTAGAAGGAAGACTGGGAAGAAGAGAGAGGTCATAAGCAACATTTTTGAAAACACATTATAATTAAATGGAATAGATTCAATAAATTTATTGTTGTAATCCAAAGCCTTAAGAAACAGTTTCTGCAAGAGTGTCAATATTTTTGGTTTTGACTCTGAAGTGGAATGGAATATATGTCAAAGTAGCAACAGATCCATCTTGATGAATATATTTTAGAGATGGCTCAAAAATGGCTCTTCCTCCATAGAAACATAAGTTCTTTCTGAACATAAAACTGAGTTTATAAAAGGTGTCTGTAAGAAATATTCCCTATATAGAACCCAAAGCTACTGAAACTTATTCAATAAATTCATATGATAATAAATTTATAAAAATCAGAATTGTTTTGCTGATATCTGGCATCTTTTTCTATGCAGTTCTGGCTATATTTGGAATTATACTAGTTTCAACAAGCAAAAAAAAATTCCATATGTTAGTTAGAATTTACCTAACTCTAATTTATCTAATTATTATCTAAATATGAATTAATATTTTGTTTTTCCTTTAACAAAACAAGAATTTTTAAAAGATAGTGTGAAAAATGAAATATTTCTTTGACAAGTCTTCACAGGGAGAATTAATGGATAAGGTTATTTCTATAGAAATTATATATTGGATTAATATGATTTCTTTGAGTTATATTACTTCCCAAAACCTCTGAACAACCCAGTGTGTTTATCATATGTATTTTAAAAGTCTTCTTAAAAAAAATAGCATTCCAATATTAAACCAAATTATGTTAAATAATTTGTCACTTTAGAGAAAAGCTAAATAGGACTGTAATAACTTAGGGGGTGAAAAGAGTATTAAAAGCACTTTCTTTAATTACTTCAGGATTCCTATCTGCATCTTCTGACTCAGATTTTTGCTGCAGACTTGCAAAGAAATTAAAATTTAATGATATTAAAAAATATGTTGTTTTAGGGAAAAATTAAATTTTATGTATTTAATGAAAGCACTTACTTCTAACAGCAAATGTAACTGTAGGCAAAGAACAAGAAAAAAAAAAAGTAGTAATTTTAAATAATCTCAAACTCTATAATGATTTTGAACTTGCATGACCATTATTCCATAGCTTGAAGAGCTTTCCAAGTCTATTTTGAGGAATTAAAATAGCTTATAAATTCTCTAGCTTAATTTTGCCATTTGCATTCCACATTGTGCATTATTAGAGCACTATTTGATGCACCCAAACAAATATATAAAGACTGATTTAATAAAGTGTGCAGGTTCAGGGCTGGTGTGCCTTCCTGAGATATTGGAGAGGTGTTTCAGCTGCATAATTGAATAGATAAAATCTCTCTCAGTCAAAAAAGGCATAGCTCACTTCCTGCAAGGGAATAATTCATGTCAGGGTGAATTTCAGCAAAAGCTGCAGAGTCTTTGCCCTCTTACCAGAGAGAGGAGACATCCAAACAAATTGCCAGATTCGTAGGATCTAGATGTTTTTAAAGTTTGCAGGTAGAATAGGAGAATGCTGTACTTTTGATAAACACTAAGTTGATGAGTGTGACTGATTAATCTTTACATACAGATATGTATTTCATTGATAACTAGATTTACATTATGTTATTGCAATTATTATCTTCATGGGAATGTTCACTGAAGCAATGTATGCATCTTAGCCTTTTTCTAAACTCATTAAAAGATCACCAGTTTTCTTCTATAATTTTAAAGCAGCTAAAATTTACCACCTAGATTGTCATTACTCTGCTGCGTCTTAGCTTAAACCACAGTTTTCTCAGGCTTAATTTTCTAGGAAGAATAATTGTCTTGTCAGTCATGATGAACATAAAAATATAGTGAGATACTGGCAAGTGCCAGTATTTTAAGTCATGTACAGTCTGATCCATAGTTTAGTAATAGAGGAATTGTATTTAAGTAAACAGAGTAGTTGACAGAATGAAAGCAAAGGAACAAAAAGGTCAATACAGCTGTCTACACCTTTATATTTACTCTGTTTTTAATAAAGGAACTATTTTTGAATAATATGTGAAAACTAATAATTGAAAAATTTGCTATCTTTGGTCTTGAAACATTAAGTTAGAAGGATCCCTAGAAGATGTTATTTGGTCCATTCATATAGACAAAATAAGACCAGACTTAGCACCATAATTTAGCATTTGTTTATCTACCAAATCTGTCCATCCTTACACAGATAAATCTTTGTTGCTCTACCCAAGAGGCTGACAATCTTTCAAGTTATAAAGTTTTCCCTGACACCTAGTCTGAATCTTCATTGCATCAATAAAATTCTACTATTCTTTTTCTTACAAAGCTGAGACTCCTTTCACATACACCTCCTCCACCATTTCTCCTTCAGTCTAAACAATCTTGAATCTCTAAGTCTTTCTGTAGGAAAAATTTTCTGCATGCCTAGGAGTTGTGCCCTACTGTACTGTCTTCAATTGTTCCAAGCCTCTCTCAGGGTGAAGTAACCAACTCTATAATGATGTGTTATGCATTTTGTATAGGACAAGGTTACACCATTGCTTATCTCAAATTATTCTGTTTTCCAGGATATTTACCTTGTAAGGTATCAGTGCTGCCTCACATCCAATTTACAATCCAGACACATCTGAACCTGCAGTCAGCTACAGTGCCAATACTATGTCCTGCAACTGCCTCACTGCTTGTACCTGCCAAGGTACAATTTAACATTTACCCATGTCAAATGCAAATTCATGTTTTCCATACTGTTTCTCCAATTTCTCTACATAAACATAGTTTCAAATTATCTCAACAAGTGTACTACAAGACTATTTCTGGCTCTTTGCACCTTATAGTAGCACCTGAACATTTAAAAACCACTGAATGGCAGCAGGGTTAGAGCAACCCTTACCAAATTGCATTGATTTCCTCTTCCATTTCCATAATGGCATGCAGCTATCTAAAATAAGCCTCCAAGTAGGTTCACAGCCAGACTAAAAGCTGTGATGCAGGCTTTTGTTCCTAGACCATGTTGCCTGGTGTCAGAACTGCTCTGAACTTTATAAGACTGTGTTTATGGAAGTTGTGCTATTACTAAAATCTATTTTGCTATATATTTTTGACCACACTTAAGCTCTTGTCTCTGCTTAGTGAATAAATAACTCAAAAACAAATTATGGGCAAGCACAAAAGGAGGCAGATGGCATGCTTTACTTTTTCTTGTACTTGTTTACCACCCACTAGGGCCATGCTCTTGGGTCAGAATGGTCTGTGACAGACAAGAAGAAAAGAGACCAGATGTTAACTATAAATTGTTGCATTAAATTAATGCCAGTCTGAAATATACCAGCAATGGGGTCATTACTGCTGTGACACTAAAAAAAAAAATCAGAGACTGTAACAGATGTTTCTATTTTTTTTCCAAAAGGATTTATTATTATTATTTTGCATTAATCTAAAGCTTCAGTGACAAAATTCTATTACCAACCTCAAGACATACAGGGAAATATAGATGCTTCTCAAAATTTTGTAGTTCCTGATCTAAATGTGGTCAAAAGTAGAACATGGCTATGCAGATACTAGCCTCAGTTGTGGAAGCCATATTGGCAACCTAGTGGAATAATGCCAGGGAGCTAATTTTCCACTCCAAGGAGGCTCAAATCAGAAAATGGCTATGCTGCTGCCAGCACCCAAGAAACCTCGCTCACAGCTAGGTCAAATATCTGTGCATGGCACTGTATCACATGGTATAGGGATACTAAGGGGAAAGGAAGTAAAAGACTATGGATGTCTGCAAATCAACAAGTTATCTGATGAAATAAAGCTCCCCAAAGTTATAAAGAAAAGCAATCCCCTAATTATTCTAGTTACTTTCATTGTATATTACTTAACTGGTAGTGAGACAGCTATATGTATTAAGGATGAATACTACTTTAAATTCCCAGCCCTGTCTCATTCAGAAGTAGATCTTTAGCCAGCATGGAATGACATATCTCCCTTTCAAGCCAAGATGTTGTAGCTGATTAAAACAGCTTCAGATGTGTCCTACTAAGCCCTCTTCCATATGGCCTGCAGCCATGACCATTTGGTATATCTTATTTCTATACATCTGCACTACTTCCCCTGCAGTGACAGGACAGGACCTTCTGTGGGACAGTTGATGCTTGTTTGATGTGAGTGAACCATGGGCATTGATAATAGATGTCCAGGAGATGTCTTTTAAAATATGTATAAGCTTAGAAAATGGAGTGAGATTCACAGAAAAAAAACAAAGGAAATGTTTTCAAAGGAAAAAAAATCATGGCACTAAATGAAGTGATCAATTTCAAAGGCTGAGATTGACTCTCTTTTAAAATAAACATTTTTACCGCAATACTATTGAGAT